TCTCGCTTCCCTCTCCTCTGCCCCTCCCTGCCCCATCGTATGGTGTGCACTCTCTCTTCAAAAAAAAAAAAAAAAAAAAAAGTCACACACACTATGACATAGTATGCAAAAATAAAAGTGGATGTTACCCATAGCATGGCTCCTCATCCGAAAGATACATTTGCTACTTCCCACCTTGTAAAGATGTATTTGATTTACATGCTAGCAATATTTATGTGCAGATGCTGATGTAGGGGAAAGTAATTCTACCTGAGTAATAATTGGTTAAACCAAAAGTTTCTATGTAAATAATTCTGCAAGTTTACTCCCAACATGTAGTCAGAATAGTGGTTGGTAGCAGGAAAATATTTAAGAGTTCATTCTTCTTTTTAATAATATATATTTAACAACATATATGTTATGTAACATATGTATTAAAAGATATATAACATGTAACATATTTAATATATTTATATGTTGTATATGAGATATATAAAATTTGTATGTACATAAAATAAAACATATGTGACATATATGTGAGATATTTTTATATATAATCCTTCTCCAACCATGCTACTCTAAAAAGAGAACACCCTGATATTGATACATTGTTAGGAATACTGAGATGAAAAACTATTTTGTTTTTGTTTCTTAAAATAGCAATTTATCAAACCTTTTAAAATTGAAATATTATAGAGCTAGTTTTTTAGAGTCTTATAAATGGACAACTACACTGAGTTTTCTGAGAGCACAGATGTAATTCTACTATATTTGTTTCTGGTGATAGCACACTACAGATGGACTTCTTTTTTTTTTAAGATTTTATTTATTTATTTATTTATTTGAGAGAGAGAGAATGGGAGAGAGAGAGAACATGAGAGGGGGGAGGGTCAGACAGAGAAATAGACTCCCCATTGAGCAGGGAGCCCGATGCGGGATTCCATCCCGGGACTCCAGGATCATGACCCGAGCCAAAGGCAGTCGCTTAACCAACTGAGCCACCCAGGCACCCCAGATGAACTTCTTTTTTCCTAGATTTGTTTAGAAATCAGAATATAATGTATGTAGTTAAAATCATAAAGTTGCATTTTTTTTTAAGATTTTATTTATTTATTTGACAGAGAGAGAGAGAGAGCACAGCAGGGGGAGGGGCAGGCAGAGGGAAAAAAAAGGCTCCCTGCTCAGTGGGGAGCCCGATGTGGGACTCAATCCCAGGACCCCGGGATCATGGCCTGAGCCAAAGGCAGACGCTTAACCAACTGAGCCACCCAGGCGCCCCATAAAGTTGCATTTTAAACATAAACTTTACAGAAATGCCACGTAGTGGCTTTCTTTCCCATACTGAAAACTTTGATAAAACAACTCTGTTTTAAAATTAAAGAAGTGATGGACCACAGAGATAATAATATAGCTAATTTAATGTGCCACCTGGTACCACTTCTAACTCACAAGTCATGGACCTGAGGTACAGTGGTAAACTTCTTAAAGATTTTTTACAAAATCATTTTTGATTATTGACAAACATTTGAAAATTTCCTAAATTTGGCACAATTTGAGTACTACCACCTGAATGAAAAATAACACCTGGATACTATCTGCCAAAGGTCATTAGGACAAAAGAGGAATTCCAGTTTCTTTTCCTCCCAGGGCTGTTTAAGGAAGCAATTAGAGTTCACATTATGGAAAAGAGGGAGGTGGGAGAGTAGAAGGGTACTGATGGCCAGTGAAGGTCAATAAATATGCAGAGAAAGAAAAGATGAAATGGAAGAATGGATATATATGGCTACCTAATCTGAACACTGGTTTAAAAAATCTTTCTGATATTCTTTCTTTCAGAGATTTTTTAAAACTGTGCTTTTAATGTTTCTTACTTTAGTAGGAAATGGGTAGGCTTAAAATTATACTTCAAAGCATTAATTTTACTGGCAAATTAATCAGTTACATAACAAGCATGGTTAAGTTATAGTGTAGTGATATGTTTGAGATTTCAGGGAGCACAAAAATGATTAAATGAATACACAATAGTTCTAAGATAGACCCGCTCATTTCTTCAGACCAAAACCCAACTGAACATTGTTTAAAAGGACCTGAGAAGTAGATAATTCTGCCAGTCCTGAATTACCAAGCTCTTGTCTTTTCTTTCCATGTAGATAATGTTTATATGAGCTAGATTTTTGATAACCACTGTTTAGGATTCCATTTTCACTTCTATTATCATTCATTGATGAATATTAGCTCAATTAAAAATAACAGCCAAGTAAAAAGGGCTCAGGAAGTGTAACGGGGAATTCTTGGTCATCTAGCAGACAGAGCTTGATTATTAACTCAAACTACTGCATATTTTCCAGAAAGTTTATGGCTCACACTTCAGCTTATAAGTATAAAACCACAGTGAAAAAATAAATTGAGGCAATGGCTTTTGTTGAATATTTTCTGTTCTTAAATAAAACCATTGAGTCACAATTCAACCAAAGACACCAAAAAGGCAGGATCTTTAAAATAAAAATCTATTTCTCCAGGAAAATAAAATACATTATAACTATATTTTGGTGAGGAACTGAAGATGTCTTTCTAAGAAACTTTTGCTATATTATAAAAGCATATACTTTCTTAAATGTTCATATATATTTTTCAATAAATGGATTGTACTTTGATTGCATCAACATTTCTACATCTTAAAAGTATGACTGCTATATTCCATCAGATCATTAATTAGCTTAATTTCCTGAAAATTAAAATTCTCAACTTCAATGAAATTTAAGTCTTAAAAGTAACTACCATCTTGCTTCCAGGTTTTGAGAAAGTGTATATACTTAATTCTTCTAAATTACTTACATACAGAACACATGAACTAAATCCATTTCATAGATTTGACATGGGCATTATGATTCAGCTTCTTAAATCGTTTCAAAAAGTAGATGCTTATAAATATTTTATTTATATAGTAAAAAAATCATTAATAGCTAATACTTCCTCTTTTTCTTCCTGAAAGCAAAAATAAATTTCAAAATAAAATTAAAAAAATTAAAGTCATTTCAGGAAACAAATTTTAAAATAATAGTAACTTCTCATGTCTAGAATAGAACTTCTAGCTAGATGAAATTAGCATCTCATCAACATTCATTATAATACCGATATTCATATACAGTATATGGTATTAAATGATTAACTTAATAAAATTTAATTAAAATGATTCACTGATACTTCATGAAGAACACTACCATTGACACCAAATTAAAAAATATATATATTTCCTTTTAATGTTTGTTTAATTCCTCTTAAAACAGAGTTCTCTTTTTTATTCATATGTATTTCTGATTTGAAGTCCTGATAGCGATTTGCACTATCCGATTGTCCCTAACAAATATTTCATATGACAAAAAGACAAGACTCAAAACCACACACACATATAGAATTCTCTTTGATAAGAAATAAGCACCTATATTACACCTTCAAAATTTGTCCCAAAACTACCAACAAGATAAAATGGACATATAAGCAGTTGGATATGAATTTTCACTCATTCATTTTTTTTAATGAACCAGTAGGTCTTAAAAAAATATGTGAAAATAAATCAAAATCACAAGTAGTGTACTTTAGTTTAGCACAATTTCTTAACTAATTAACTCAGCCAAAAATTCTTCACATATGAAATACTCCATTAGTTGGCCATATGACGATATGAGAATTTCTGTTCAACACAATATGGCTAATACAATTAAGTTGACTTTATAACCACACTGTCATTTAAAGAAGACAATTAAATGAGCGAGAAACAAAACTTTAAAAAGCAACCTTGGGAATAACTTTTTCCTACAGGCATTACCAAACCCTTTTTGAACTGATTAACTATGCAAGAAAAGCAGCATAAAGCTGAAGAAAGGGCACTAACATCACTACCTAGCTTACCTAAGAACTCATAAAAGTAAAGGGCTCTAACCATTTTATTTTATTAGAGCCTATAATATATAAATTGTGCTACTTTTCTGCAGTTTGATTAACACTAATCATTTCATACTTTTCCTTTTTTCTACCATCTAAAAAAAAATCTTAATCCTAGCTTCATATTTATTTTTCGAAAAAACATTAATCTGGGATATGGCCCATTGGTTGCAAAACACCATCACCCCCAAATAAAAGAATACACAGAAGAATTCTAGAAGGAAATTAGAGTGCACAAAATTCTATAATACAATCGGCCCCTGGTGACCATCAGTCTCACCAAATACTACTCTGTCTTCTACATGTTTTCAATGGTCACAGGCCCATTGCCTGATGGGATCTGTAGTTTCTAAAAAAAGACTGCCTGAGTGATAGTCATTGACTTCTTTTTTTTGAAACTATGAACCTATAGTCTTAAATATGTTGCAAATATCAGTCTACTTCATTTTGTAGAGTTGACCAGTTCCAGCCCTGATCCTCTAAAACTGCATGACTTATTGGCCAAAATGAAAATGCATGTATATGAATATGTACATAGATATTATAAAATCCCTGGATAATGGTATCTATAATCCATGTTTTATAACGTTATAAAATAAAAATTATGATTCTTAGAGGAAAAATGACAAAACTATCTATTTATATGAAAATAATACTTCAAATATACATGAAAACTTTTCACTTGAATACACTGGAACACTTTCGAGGCACTTCAATACATATTATGCATATTCATACCTTTATTTGGGCAACAAATTTGTGTTTTTCATTATCATATCTTCATGTATTGATATATATATATATATAATATTATCTTTCCCATATTCAGGAATTCTAAAATTTCTTTGTGTATTTACCACTCTCAGGCATCAATACTCAACATTTGCTAGCAAATCCCCTAAATACTTCAATCGCTACGTCATACCCATTTCATAGGGAAAGAGTTACTCAAAACCATTTGGAAAATGCTTTCGTAAACCCATTTAGAAAAGAGATACTTCCTCTGAATTCTGTAACCTTACTGGGTCCACAATCACCTCACATACACTCAACCTCCATCCCCTTTCCCTTGATGGCACCTACCCTAGTGTAGTCATGGTGACGATGGTGTACCAGAAGGCAGCAGGGATGCTGGTGAACTTGCTGGCTGAAGACCCCTTCTCTGCGTAGAACATGACTGTAGCAAAAATGATGATAGCCATGGTGAGCGAGAAGAGCAAGAAGCCCAATTCTGAGGCACAGCTCTTCAGGGTGTACCCCAGGATGCGCAGGCCTTGAGAGTGGCGGGAAAACTTAAAGATCCGGAAGACCCGGAAGACTCGGAGCGTGACAAAGGCTCCGCTGACATCCTCATTGTCTGTCATCACCAGCCCGATGTAATAAGGCAGGATGGCCACCACATCGATGATACTCATGACACTACGCACAAAACGGTAACGACTAGGTGCTGCAGCCAGGCGAAGCAAGTACTCAACTGTGAAGATCATGACGCAGGCTGTGTCCAGGCAGAAGAAGGCCACTGCATACCGCTCCCCACAAGGCAGCTCCTTAATGTGCCCGGGGCTGGACCCGCACGGCACTGTTTCTACCACATTCGCGATGACTGAGACAGCAATGAAGAACCCTGTAACATAGTAGAACACCAGGGCCATTGTGCTGGTGTGGGGGTTCTCAAAGGCCCGCCAGACCCTCTGCCGAGCAGTCATAGTGGGCAGCGTGCTCTCTCCGGTGTTGTCAGTATCTGCGTCGTCCTGCAGACGCTCCGCGTTCTCCCGCCTGCGGTCCTTGTACTCCTCGTAACAGCAGTCGCCAATAATCTCTGGGATGAGGCCAAAGAAGGCCAGTTCTTCATCGTAAGCAGAGATGCACTCATGGCGAGGGTAGTGGAGCTTCCCGGTGCGGTAGAAATTCAAAATATGGCGGAAGATGTCTGGGTCACGGTCAAAAAAATACTGCTGAGTCTCCGGATGGTAGAAAAAGTCCCTCTCAGAACTGCCCAGCAGAGTGTCTGGATAGCGTTCCAGGGTGTCCTGCCATGTCTGGAAGCGGGTGCCACTCACATTGAGCACAATCAGAGCATCTTGAGTCCTTTTTCTCTCCTGCCGTGGGGGAGCTGGCATGGGCCCCGAGGCCACAGGCATCCACCCAATGGCTGCTGCCCTGGCAAAGGGCAGCCAGGCTGCTACACCCGCCGCCATGGTTCCTTGACGTGCAGGCAAGAAGGGCAGTCAGGCCTCTAGGACGGGGCAAAGTAGCCACAATCACTCACTTCCTCCCGTCAAACAAAATACCACTGAGAAATGAGGTCCGGAAGGATCACTCGTATGCCAGCGTAGGGCTCCTGGTGAAGTCACAGTTCGCAGAAGGGCAAGTTTCCCTCCAACACAGGAATTTGTAGCAGGAAGAAGAAGAAAATACAATGTCCTAACAATCACGCCCAGCAGAACCTAACCAAACCTCTTCCAGCAGTTGAACCAGGCCACTCCTGGCACAGATAAGTACACAGGTGACTCTAGATGCAGCAATTTCTTCAAACAGGTGTCTGAGTTCTCCCCTGACACAGTCTGGATAATGTAGGGTCAGCAGCGTCGTGTAGGATAGAGAAAACGAAGGGCAGTCACTCAGTGGTATTCTTTTGATGATTTAGAGAACCCCTCCACCTTCCCCTTTAGGTCTTTCAAACCTTCCCTTCCCAAGTGGCCCTTCCCGCCAAAGGAGTCTCAGAAAGGCGACCTGTTGTTGTAGCTTCCGAGATGCGGTCACAGCCGCTGCCCCATGTCTCTTTGGGAGTCCGGTCGCCGCCTCTACTCCTTGGGCCGTGTTTGCAGAGATGGAGGTGCTGTGCGGTGGGCACGGTGGGGGGCGTTAATACAGATCCTCCTCCCCCGCGTCTACAAGCACCCCCTGGGTCCGTCAAAAGCGTCTGCCCAATCGCCCCTTCACTCTCTTTTCAAGTTCAGCTCAGGTGCAGTGTGACAGTTACAGAAGCCGGGAGCTGGCAGCCGCCGCCGCCACGGCGGCAGCCGCAGCATCTGCCTCCGCGCAGAACGCGCCTCGCTCGCGGTACGTACCTGGCAGAGTGCGCGCCGGGGCTGAGTTGCATAGAGACTTTCTCCTCGCCGTGCACCCGGAAAGGGAAAAGCAGAGAAAGCAGCGCCCGAGCAGCCGAATCCGAGGCGCTCAGGGAGCATAAATAAAGCTCAAGCGAGCTCTTCTTCCCCTTCCCCCATCCCTCTATGCTTCCTCCTCCTTTTCACCTCCCAAAAGCCAGGCGCAGGCGAGCCGAGCAGCAGCAACAAGTTCAAAAGGTGCGGGGGAGGCGAGAACGGAGGGGACTCGCTCCTGCCAACTTACTGCGCCGCCGCTGTCGCCGGGGCCAGAGCCCGGCGGTGCGGGGCTGCGGAGCTGCGGGGCTGCGGGGCGGCCGGGCGGGCGGCGGCGGCTGCGGCGGCGCGGCGGGGCCGGGGCCGGGGCCGGGGCCGGGGCCCGGGCCGGCTCGGGCAATCGCGGGAGCGCAGAGGCAGGAGGCGCTCGGCAGCGCGGGGGCGCAGGAGGGCGGCGGGCTGCTTCCCAGCCAGTGGGTGGTCCCGCATCTCCCCCGGCTCCCCGCGCCGCTCTGCTCGTGCGATCAATAAATAAGGAGAAAATAAATAAATAACCGCGCGCACGCCCCACCACGCAGGTTATGAAAGGCGTCTCCTGCCTTTCCCTCGGCTTGACCTTTCTCCGCCCCCGCCCCCTCGGGCTCCTCTCGCTCCACCCCAGCCACCCACCAGCCCCGGCGCAAAATGTCACCGAGGGGGAGCATCCAGGTGGATCTGCCGGGGAGGAGAGCAGCCTGGATGAACAAAGGGAAGCTTCACGCGCTCGGCTGCGGTGGTTTGGTGGAGCAGAGGAGGAAGGGGACCGGTGCCTTGCTTCTGCCTCCCTGGGACCCGGTTCGAGGCGAGCGTGGGAAAAAAAGGGAAAAGAGAGAGAGAAGCTGGGAAGGAGGGCGAGCGGAGCGGAACGCGCAGGAATTGGTTGTCTTCTGGGGGCTACCGGGTAGCAAGACCTGCAGAGCCCCGCGGCGGAATTTTTAAGTGCTTTTCCCTCTTTCTCTTTCTATTTGTTCAAACCAGATGTGGAACGTTGCAGGAGCTAATATGTCATCTATCCAACTTGCCGAAAAGTCAGACAGTCCTCTCGGACTAGGTCTTGCCACAACTCCTTTTCTCGTCCTTTAAGAATGACAGGAAGGATTTAGAACCCTTTTCTAAATGTCAGCGTCAAGGGGCGTGAGTCTCTGTGAGTGTGCGTCCCCTTCCTTCTCTCTGCGTATCTCTGCACATCTCTAAAATGGTTAAAGTAGTTTTATAAAGGTGTCCATGTGAGGGGTAAGTGATGGGGTGAGAGACTAGGAAATTGTCGCGGCTAACCGTTTTGTTTTTCGTGTACCCCGTCCCCCCCCCCCCCGTCATTAGGAATCTTCCTTAAAACCAAACATATACCACTTATAACCACTAGATGGCGTGAATGGAGAGAAGTTAAATTTACACCTACGGTTTGGATGCTTTGGAAAGGTGAAGGATCAAAATGAAGTGAAGATCCCAAAAAAGATCAGATCACATAAACATCCTCAATCCCCCACTCTCCATCCACCTTTTTAGTATTTATGTGAGATACACTACCCAGGCTTGAGTCTGCATTTCCATGGCTATGGGAGGAGATGTGGAGAGTTTCCTGTTGAAATGCCTTTGAAAATTAAATTTAGATTACGGAATAATAGTGATGATAAAAGTCTTTAGAAATAGTGAGACTTCATCTATATTGATTAAGGGGGGAAGTCTAGTTTTTACCTAAAAGTTACCTTTTCAAGGCTTACTTTGTTCTTAGTTTGAAAAGTAAGTCGACTGTGATGTATAGTCTTGAATTGACTTTAAAGCCCTAGAGATCTTAGGCAGGATTTGTGTTAACCTTAAAAATCTGAAATGGAATACCTCAACAAAAGGATACTAACAAAAAACAGAGTATACAGAAACTCACCAGAGAAGGAGAAAAACAAACTTCCTAATGTGCAGGATTTTTTGTAGAGATGGAAAGATATTTTTTATTTACTTATTTACTGGTGTAGAGGTTTAGGGAATCCCATGTTAGTAGTTAATGAAGTCAGAGCTAATGCACCATGAAAGTTTGGAAACAGAACTGAAAACACCTTATGTTTATCTGTTTGGGTGAGTTGTGGTGAAAGATGCTTGTTAACAAATCTATATAGCCTGCATACACGAAGAAAAATGTTAATTGAAAAATAAAGAGGAGACTACTTAACAATTACTGTAAGAAAATTAACCCCTTCCTAATCCAGAAAATAAGGTGCAAGCATGAGAGGTGTCTCCAGAGAATGGAAAGCCATGAATATTCAGTCGATGCCAAACGGGCATGACCTCCCATAAACACCAGGCAGGCGACCTAAATAGAGCCTTTAAAAATTCCCTGCAGGAAACTGAACACTTAGAAATATAAACATAGATGTTTAACACTACAAAAACCCTTAAATAAGCAAGAATAGAAAATCCACAATTTTTAAGAAGACTTTGAGATCTGTTCTCCCCCACTCTCCACAAGCTTCTTGATACAACAGAAAGAATGTGGGCTTAGAAGCTGAACCCATCTAGATTCAATTTCTAGCCCAAGAAATTACTCATAGACTTTGTTTCATCTGGCAAATTACTTTTGTTCAGAAGTTGCAGATAATAAAACTTAACTTTTTAAGCCTATTGTGAGGTTTAAACAGAATAATACTTCTGAACACCAGTGAGAACTTGATACACACAAATGGTACTCAATATCAATTCCTTTTTATTTTAATGCCTAATGGAAATGCAGATTATTTTATCCACCCTGTATTTGAAATTCCCACAGGTATTGCTATGTTTACTCTTTCATCTGAGTTCAAAAGTTCCCTTGTTGTGATATACCAGTGACCCTGATATTTCAACTATTCATTCATGCATTGAAATGCTATATGAAGAGTATGTATACAAAACCAGCAGAACATTCTCTCACTCTCTATGTTTCTCTTGCCCAGGGATTCCTGTTCTTCCCTCTTGTATTCTCATTTTATATACTCTGCTTGGTTGATGGAAAATAAACTCAGCAAGATCAAAACTGAAGTCATCACCTCTCCTCCTCATCTACTCAGTTTTCTCTCCTGATGAATAAAGCCCAAGGTAGAAACCTCATGGTCATTCACAGACCATGTCCTGTTCTTCACCACCTCCCTGAATGCACCCCCAAACACACACACTCATCCAGTGATCCAGTAAGCTTGTATATTCTACCCTCATTATCCATCTATCCTTACACTGCACCTACAGTGATATTTTAAAAACTATTTTGAGATAATTATAGATTCACATGCAATCCTTTACACCAATCACCTAGTTTCCCCCAAAGTTAACATTTTGCATATTACAGTACAATATCACAACCAGGAAACTGACATTGATGCAATCCACTGAATTATTCAGATTTTACCAGTTTTACATACACTAATTTTTGCATGTTTATACTTCATTCTAATTTTCTCACATGTGTATATTTATGTGACCACCATCACAGTACACATATAAAAGATTTCCATCATGAGGATCCCTTTTTATAGTCGTTAACTGTCTCCCTCCCTCCTCCCTTCCCTATCCCTTGTCAACCACTAATCTGTTCTCCTGTATAGTTTATCAATTCATAAATATTACAATTTTTTAAAGATTTTATTTATTCATTTGACAGAGATAGATAACACAAGCGAGAGAGGGAACACAAGCAGGGGGAGTGGGAGCGGGAGAAGCAGGCTTCCCGCAGAGCTGGGAGCCCTATGCGGGGCTCGATTCCAGGATCCTGGGATCATGACCTGAGCCGAAGGCAGATGCTTAACGACTGAGCCACCCAGGTGCCCCAATTCATAAATATTATATAGAAGGAATCATGCAATATAAACTTTCCAGATTGTCTTATTTTACTCAGTAGAATTAGTTGAGATCTATCCACTTGTTGAATGTATCAACAGTTCATTTCTTTTTATTGCTGACTAATACCACACTTTAATTAAGCATTCACCCACTGAAGGACATTTGGAGAGGTTCCAGTTTGGGGCTTTTATGAATAAAGCTGCTATGAATGAACATTCATGTAAGGTTACTGTGTGAACATAAATTTTCATTTCTTTGAGATAAAGACCCAGGAACACAACTGCTGAGTTGTATGACAAGTGTATGTGTAGTTTTGAGTGGCTGCAATAATCTTTTCCAGAGTGGCTGCACGTCCCACCAGTAAACTACAAGTTATCTGGTTTCTCAGCATCCTTGCCAACATTTGGCATTATCACTCTTCTTTGTTTTTGTCTTTCTGATAGTGTGTTATGACATCTCACTGTGGTTTTAATTTGCATTTACCTAATGGCTAATTTTGTTGAACATATCTTTATGCACATATTTACTGTCTGTATATTCTTCAGCAAAGTGCATGTTCCTGTCTGCTCATTTTTTAATTGAATTGTTTGCTTTTTTACTGTTGACTTTTGAGAGCTCTTTATGTATTCTAAATAATGGTCCTTTGCCAGATATGTCCCTTGCAAATATTGTTCCCAAGTGTGTAGCTTGTCTTTTCATCCTCCTCACAGGATTTTTTGCAAAGCAAAAGTTTTTAATTCTGATGAGGTCCAAATTGTCAATTCTTCCTTTTATGGAACATGGTGTTGGTGTCAAATCTAACAACTC